AGGAATATAATACATATTGTAGCAAACGTTTCCAGAACCTTTACTCAGACTTCAGGAGTCCACTTGCATGAATTCAAACTTGTGCACAAGGCCCAGCATGGTGAATATTGCAATATTACCAGATCACATCAGCTATCTGCTGTTCTCAATAGCTTGCAACCCTAAACAGAGCTGTCCTGGAAGCCCACCAACATTTAAACAGAGAAGTGACCTTCATTTGTCAGCATCCTAAAGAAGAAGAATACACATAGATAGATTGCTCAATGGCATGGAAAGGCAAAAGAAGGCATGAAATGGCACCTGAAGAACCAGCAAAGGAGTGCATAATACAGAAGCAATCACAGAGATATTATCTCCCATTAACTTATTTTATAGGCCTAACTTAGTTAGAACTTATTAAATTTTCATAAAACCATGCACTCAGTTACTATGCACTGCAAACTGCACTGAATTCTAGCTGTAGCAGATGAACTCATTATGTACCAGCCTCCCTGTGTACAGCAAGTTCTGTACTTTTCCTGCTTATTTATCCCTTGCCTGTGTGAATATTTGAATAGAGAGTTAAATCCAGGAGATCTTTCTTTTGATCCCCATGCACTAAACAGAGGATATACAATGAGATCATTATTGCATTAAAGAGAAAGCTGCTTGGTGCTTAAGTAGTTCATCACTGGTGTTCTTCAAAGAACTGGCCATAAGCATAAGAACGGGGATTAGGAATGATGTAACTCCTGCTGTAGCCTTTAAATCATACTATTTAGCGGATCTACTGCAGGCTTCCTAGCACAGCTCTTGTAAAGCTGTTCATTTCTGACCTCAGACATTTCTTGGCTTTGGTTCACAAGTTTAGAGCCTACCTTGAACAGAGTTTGGCAAACACATTAACTCTCTAGCGTTATTAATATAGCTTCAAATTTCTGTAAATATTCATAGCCAATTAAAGAAGTGGATTATAAAGTCCTCAGGGAACCACAATTTAAAAATTACCCTGTGTCAAATATTCTAGGAAAGGTATTTATTTGACCTTGGACAAATGTGAGAGACAGGTAACTGCCAGCTATTTTTTTCACAGAGTCAATACAGGTGGGGAACTACTTAGTGGATATAAATAATATAAACATTGCTGATCCAAAAAAGCAATGAGTTCCATATTAAAAGGAAGGAAAAATTTAAGTTGTTTTACAGGAATCTGTTGACTTTTATAGGGTCATTCGAACAACTGGATACTTGCTGTTTATCTTGCACATTAATGCATGCCTGTATTATTGGGCTTCAGACTATGAAGGACTTGGCAGCACTAGATGGGTGTACGATGGCAAAGGAAACATGTAAGTTCTTTTCTCTTGCAAAAGATTTTTGTTGATTTTGCTCCTTCCTGCATCCCCCTCCTTTTCCAGTGCCTTTGCCTGCAGGGTATACCCTTACTTTACATGTGTTTGGATAGCAAACTTCTAGCACTGTGACTGCTGATTAGCAGCTTCATTACTAACACATATTTGGAGGGCAGGTGCAGTGAATAATCAGTTTACCACTTTCAGCTTTTATAGGTTTATGAGTCAGTGCTAAGCACTAACTTAATTAAACATTTAGAAAGCAACAAGGGTCGTAAATTAAACTTACTGATTGCATATGCACATGGGAACTGTTAGAAGGATTGCAGAATAATCCCTCAAAAGAATCAGAGGCACAGATTTTTTTCTGCCACACAGCATTGTTCATTAAAATGCAACATTTTAGTCCCTCTAAACACCATGGTGATTGGCCTGAAAAAATTCCACCCATTTTCTCTGATCTTTTGAGAAGGTCACAATTAAACATGTGGCAGAGTGTCTCCAGTGGGAAGGACTGGATATTGGCACACTTTTCCACAAACTCCTTGTGACAGTAATAGGCTGAGTGCCAAGCAAGGGACATTCATTAACATGATGGAAAGGAAGCACGAGAAAATAGCAAAGTCATAATATGGTTTGTGTGTAGTTATATAAAAACATATCTAGTAGGTTCAGATGTATGAACGCTCATTTCTTTCAGAGGTCATAATATAGTTAAAGCCACAGAAGCTCAATTTGTTCATTAATTACATTCTTTGCAAAACCGCATATAATATACTACTGCTGTCATAAATCACCCTTTAAACAAATTTTCATATTTCTCTTGGAGACATACTCCTCTTGCTTGTAATTTTGTCAGACTTCACAAGTTTGGTGTGAAGTCACTATCTTGAAGGGTAAGAAAATAGCTTTTGAGAGTAAAGCAGCATTGATTTTTTATAATTAGGGTTCTCTCAAAAAAAAAATGACATGGCTGAAGTTTCCACACACCGCTAAAATACACAGCTTGAGTACTGCAATCAGACACATGCAAGCAGGCTCACGGAGCTCAGAGGGACCACTTATGTAAGTGAAGTTATACAGAGGTATTTATTCGCAGGATCAAGGCTTCCATAAATCTGACAAGAAAAATGCAGAACGAATTTCCATTATAGCTGTTTTTGTTAATGTCATTCTTGGGAATACTTGCCTCATAATTAAAAAATAAGGTAACTGAGACTGAGCAACCTGAAAACTCCAAAAGTAGAGTGCTTACTCAGTCTTCAAGTTTTTAATGTTTCTTCAGAACAGCCTAGAGAACAGGCAAGAAAATCTTCCTGGTTTTCACAGACAAGAATATTTTACATTTCACTCAGGGAAACAGTTGGTAGAAATTATTTGCTAGCTTGATCATACGCAATGTAGTTGTGCCAACAGGCAATGGTCAGGATTTTTTATATTTTGTGATACCTTTTCCATGAGGAGACAAAAACACTTCTCAAATGATGTCACACTGAAATCACATGGGATTTAGGGCAGAATTTTTTATAAACAATAATAATAAACTGATAATTCAAGGTCTGCATTAAACTGAGATGCTGAAATAAAATGCATATTAGAATATATCCATGTAAGCCTCATTAAGCCATTAATCTACCTCATCTTGACATTGGTTGGTGAATGTATGACTTTTTATTCTTTTGCCTGTATCTAACTCATATTGGATTATATGGTCCCATGTACATGGAACCCCAAAGAGTATCCCATGTTGAGCTGCCTTTCATAGAGCGTAGCTTGGTATCCCACTAACAACAAATGCCTTCTGTATCGGATAGTCATTACCAAAGAGAATCAGGCATGACATATTATCTGATTGTCGAATATTTGGGGATTTTTGACAGAGAGGCATTGTGTGAACATTAGTTATTATTGGAGATGCAATGTGAATTTAAATATATCAGACAAGATACTTCTAGGTATATTAATTTCTCTGGAAAGCAAGAGCTAAGAAAAATCCAGGAAAAATCTGTCAGAAAAAGTGACCAGAACTGCAGTATATATTATGACACAGCAGTGCAGATTTAATTTCCTTTCACATAGCAGTCAGAGTTGCCAATATTTGAAGCAAAATATGCCATTGGTCTCACGCAGAATGGGAACACATTCAGAAAGAAGGTAAGACAAACATAGCATCTTAGCTAATTAAAAAAAATGACAGTAAGCAGTTTGACAAATAAATCAAAGTTCTAGTGGTCTCAGATTACACTGACCCAAAGCAAATGATATGGCACTGATTTAGTGGCATGAATGTTTTATGTAGAATCCCTGCTGTGTCCATAAAATGTTGCTAGTTATGGCCAAAACCAGTTCTTAAAAATGTCAACATTTCTAGGATCCTTTTTTTTTCCTTTCCAGGCTAAAAAGAATACACAGACAACAGTTTCCCTTAGCAATTTGATTATATATATGTTCCTGAGCAGGCATACTAACTGGTGAACTTCAATTTATAACTATCAGCTGTACACAGCACTCAAACCACAAGCAAAATTATCAGAGTAACTCTTTTTGCAAATTTCTGCTAGCTGTATTCTTTTCCAGCTTGTGCCCAGTCTCTAAAGTGTTAGTGCCAAGAATATTTGAGGTCTTTTGCATGGAAGCCTTCAATCAAAACCTTTGACCTGAGGTGCAAAAGGCAGTCAACTTTATCCCCCTGCAACGCACCCAAATTAGCCACAGAAGATGTTCCCAGCATTAAAACTGCTCTCATGAACTTGGTATAGTTAGGCAGACAGTCCTCAGTCTCGCCTAATGCAGAAGGATAGCATCCCTGGTGCAACATCATAGTGTAGAGCCTATGTAACCACGGCAGCAGGATATTGAAAAGGTCTCTTAATTATAGCTAAGTGAACAATTTGAACTATATGTGTTTATTTACAATCTAATTTAACTACTTAAGTAAGAGATTGGTCTCCCTAATTCCTCAGGAAAATAGACAAATCCTCTAGAAAGGGATTCAAGGCAGGAATGTAATGTCATTGTTCTGAATTGTCCTATGGAAGTATCTGCCTCTTTCATCACTGCCCATAAGGGAAACTAAAACTAGGGAGCTGAAATTCCCATGCAAACCCCCCAGGTCAGCATTAAATTTACGCAACATAAATCATTCCACTTTGTTCATGGTATATTTCTTCTGCTGTTTGCAAGTCAACCACAAGTAGTCTGCAAAATTCTCTGGCATATTTATTAATCAATTAATATTAATTAATATTTGCATCCTGATGATCTTTCTGTATAGCTTGCTGCCTTCCTGCTCTGGGCACAGACTTAGCGGATATCTGGAAGTCCCAGAAAATGGTCACTGTACGTGTCTAGAACAACTCTACTTCTTTGGTATGCGTTGCCCAACATACAGTAAGACTGGCATATCTTAAAAGGTGTCTTGTGGATATCAGCTATACATTGCACTTGCAATAGGTCTGATGTGTCCACTCGCAGTGCTTGCTATACAGAGGCAGTTTTGTGCCTCCAGGCAACCTGTGAATGCACAGCCCAACCCAAGTATGTCAGACCTAATGCTTTCAGACCTGCTACTTGCAGCCATACTTTTTAGATAAAAGCTTTGTAGTTTACACAATCCTGTCTGAGATCGTCAAACCCACAGCCACCTGATGAATAAGTGACTCAAGAAAAAGAGGTACGAAGATGGAGGTCATTAGAGTGCCAATTTATCAAGGCTGCTTCTTTACTCTGCTTAAACCTGTGCTGGTGGTAATCTGAGAGGAGTCAAACGTGATAGCTCTGAAATAATGCTTGCCTGGGCTGAAACGGATGTGTGAATACCGCCTTAAAATCTGATAGCCACATGCACAAAGACTTGATTTACTTGAATTAACCAAAACCATGTAAGAAGTTTAGCATATTCTGAAATGGACTTTTATGAAAAACATATTTCTATTGGCATAATATTACAAGGTATCTTATTTGCAGTGTTTCTGGATGTTTTCATACCTATGACTTATTTTAGGGAAAAATCTAGTAATTTGATTGCCTGAAGGATAAACATGCTCTCTATGTCATGCAGAGGGAAAATCCCTTTCTTGTCTCATGTTGTTTGCTTCAACAGTAATTTTATAGCTGGCTAGTAAGCCTTATGGTGAGCAATGATGGTTTCCAGACACTAGCTAGTAGGAAGCAGAGCTGCTAATATTGTTGAAATAAGAGTCTCTTTTTTTCTGGCTTTCCTTAAACAAAATTTACAATCTCATTTCTCCCCTTCTTAGGGAAAAAGGCTGCTTTATATTTCAACTGTGTAACTTTCATTTCAGATTAAAATAAAAACAATAAAATGCATAAATGGAGAAAGTATAAAACCTGTGCCTAAGAGACAGTGAATATCGTGTGACTTTGCCAGTAGAAAGTTGCTTTTGAAGTAAAATTACAGAAGAATATACTGTATTAACTACATCTTCAGAAAAGGGTGGGCAGATCTGAAAAAATGTATATTTTGGATATACAACACTGCAAAGGAGAATGTGACCCCTAAATTCCTTTGAGGACCTGCTTTCATTCTTTGTAGACATTCCCAGAACAAAGATTGTATTGTCTATCATGGTGGACTTAGCAAGCTTGCAAGTCAAGGCCATTGGGTGTGAGGAAGTTGGTTAATTACTTTTGTTTCCTATAGTAACTAGCACAGAAGTAATGTTAATTTCTTTACTTTTATATTCATAAATTATACATGTTTCATTCCCAGTTACGGCAAATGAATATGATATTAATATGCCTCATATGATAATTCCCCTCAGACAAGCTAGAGACATCATTTTATGCTTAAATCTGCAATTCTTCCAAAACAGATCTGAGGCTTTTTCTTACTATTTATTTATGCTACAGAAGTCTAAGAGAAAGCTGCCATTTACACATACTTTGCTGGAAGCATGCATAGGTGATGATTTTTTTTTAACCCAAGTGAAAATATTATAGTGGTGTAATCCAGCTGTTCATTTTGCACCCCTAACAAGGAAAATTACATGATGGTAGATATGCAATGAATTTTTTTACTTAAGGACTCTGAATGAAAACAGCCAGTTCCAGCTGTTAAAATCTAAAACTAGAAAAGTATGGTAAAAGCAATCATTGTTACTGCATTTCATTAATCTGCCACCAAGAGAAAAGTGACTTTTTAGTGAAAAGCAAAAATTGATTGCTTGGTAAAGCCTGACATTTTAGGTGAAAGACTTGGAAACACTTTTGAGTTATTTAAATAAAAACCCTCATTGGAATTGGTTGTTAGTGTGAGTTTATTTTCTCATATTTGCACAAAACTGACCCTTCAATTGTATTGTTAAATGGACCATTTATTAATAGGAGTGGAGTTCATATCTTAATAAGAGGGGAGTTTAAAAGCGGAGCCACCAAATTAAAATGTACATCTGAAGTCTGAAAGCAGATCAGGTGGCCTCAGATTCAGGCTAGGCATGAGAGGATGCGTACAAGACTGGCTATTTCAAAACAAACATCTCCAAAAGTATTTCTTCTGTGTTGTTTGTTTTTTTTTTTTAATTTCAAACTTAATAAAATTCAACAAATAGAAGGAATCTTCTTTGCTTCAGAAGCAATAGTCATAGATGAAATAATAGAAAATCTCATTGAACAATTAAGGAAAACAAACTTCTACTCCTAATCATTAGTGAAGCTGAAGTCTGATTGTACAGAGACTTACAAAGTCAAATTCTAATTAATAGGGGGCCTTTAAAAATATTCCTAAACCAATTACTTATTAGCTCAGAAAACAAGGAAATGATAGGACTTTCATGACATTGATTTGAACTAATTAATCCCAGCTGCACAGTATGGGGGATGCTGCATTACCAGTGGTGCAACGTTCTAGAACAAAATTTAAAACAGAAGCTTAGACACACCAAGACACTTTATTTATATATAAAAGAGAGTTAGCATGACTATCCTCAAAAAAAAAAAAAAATTCTGTCCATGTCCTTTGTTGTTTTCATAAACTTGTGTAATCATACTGATAGAAATACACTGCTTAAATGCAACGGGCTCTGTCATGCACAAGGCTGTACAAAGAGGGTTGTATAAAAAGAACAAAAGGTCTTTGGCCAAAGAGCTCACAATTCAGGTATGAGAAGTAAGAGACAGC